GATTAAAACATGGAGGTTATACAAGGACCGAACCATTTCCTTGCTTACATGAAGAATGCCTGTGTACATTTAAATCAGTAAATGCCTTAAAAGTACACTTAAGTAGCATTCACATCAAAACACCAAATCCGCAAACAGGTGTTTCCGTACCAGTTAAATTTAGTTGTATGTCATGTGCATTTTCTGAGACATGCACTGAGACAGAGTTCTTTTCACATCTACATTCAGCACATCTGAAAGTAAACCACAAAGTAGCATGTCCTTACAAAGACTGCAACTTTGAAAGCAGTGTTTACAGCACTTTCAAAGCACATAAGAGTAAAGAACACAAAGAACTGAACTGGAAGAACTTTAAGTCAGAAATTATAGGTGATGATGATGTGAATGACAGTGATGCTACACAAGAACAAATATCTGATGCTGATCATGTGGAGGACTTTGAGGAAATGCATGAAGTAACCAGTGACAGAGATTTTTATGATCTAGAAAAGCAGCTCGAGCACAATTTAGCATCTCTACTCTTAAAGATGCAGTCTGTTCTAAACATACCAGAAAGTGCTGTGCAAGAAGTGATCCAACAACTTGGTCAGCTCAATAAGCTGTCACAACCTCTTTTGCAAAACAGAATAATGACTGTACTAAAGAAGTATGGTTTTGACACAAATGAAATGTTTGTGAAAGAGGTGATTAATGCAGTGTCAAAAAGTAACATAATGACATACTGTGATAAAGATGGGCCTTTGGGAACTGCCAAAAAGAGAGCTGCCTATGTACGCAAAGTCTTTCCACTGGTAAACCCCATAGAATATGTTGTGGAAAAAGGTAAAAAACCTCTTGCATATGTTCCCATTGTTCCCATGCTACAGAAGTTGCTTAACAAAAAAGATGTTTTAGACAAGGCTATGTCAGCAAAAGTCAGTGTCCCTCAGGAATACAGGTCTTGTGCAGATGGGCAATATTTTAAAGAAAATTCACTTCTTTCAAGAGAAGAATTCACGATTGCCCTTGGTCTTTATATTGATGACTTTGAAATAGCCAACCCACTTGGAACATCAAAGCTGAAACATAAAATGTGTGCAGTATACTGGGTTATTGTCAACATTCCTGCAAAATATCGGTCAACCCTAAACTCAATCCAGCTCGCTCTACTGTGCTACACCTCCACAGTCAAAGAATGCGGCTACTCAAAAATTCTTCAGCCTCTGATTTATGATCTAAAACTCTTAGAGCAAAGTGGTGTTTACTTGGAGCAACTAGGGGTAAGTATTAAAGGAACAGTTTTGTTTATTGCAGCTGATAATCTTGGTGCACACTCTCTCGCAGGCTTCCAGGAGAGCTTTGCTGTTGACAAGTTCTGCAGATTCTGCTTGGCAAACAGTAGTGACGCTCAACAACAAGAGGTATGTTCTGGTTTCTTTCAATCCAGAGAACGAGAGTCACATGATGAGCAGATACAAGAGGTGAAAAAAGATCCGGGATTAATTCGGACTTAAGGCGTGAAAGGGGCATGTCCTTTAACTGAGAGTCTTGAACACTTTCATGTGGTCACTGGGTACCCTCCTGATATCATGCATGATCTCTTGGAGGGCATTGTTCCAGTTGAGTTTTGCCTTTGCCTAACAGATCTGATTGGCAAGAAGTATTTCACTTTAGGTATGCTCAATGAGGTCATTACATCCTTTAACTACACATTTGCTGACAAAACAGACAAACCTCAGATTATTGGAAAGGGGTTTTCAGCCAAAGGGACTATTGGTGGCAATGCTCATGAGAACTGGTGTCTAATAAGGCTCCTTCCATTTCTTATTGGCCACTACATCCCTGAAGGTGACAACACATGGGATATTCTCATGCTTCTCAAGGACATTGTTGATCTTGTTGTAGCACCAAGACATACTGAAGAGACTCTGAACTTTCTGAATGGCAAGATATCAGAACACAGGAGCTTGCTACAGTCCACATTTCCAGAGTTCCATTTAAGGCCCAAGCATCACTATTTGGAACACTATCCTCAGCTTATAAGGAAGTTTGGGCCCTTGTCTGAGGTTTGGACAATGCGCTTTGAGGGCAAACATAGCTTCTTTAAAAGGGCCATACGTAATATTCGGAATTTCAAAAATGTTACCATGACACTTGCAACCAAACACCAGAAAGCAGTCAGTTATCATCTTGACTGCTGCTCCTTCTTCAGACCAGTTGTTGAAATGACAAAGGTTACCCCTGTTTTGCTTGGCTCTTTTTCTTTGACTGTTCAGAAGGTAATTGAGCAAAACATAGGAACTGTAACTTCAGTGCTTGTTGCATCATCTGTCTGTGTAGATGGAATCAGTTATCGTCCAGGCATGATACTTTCTGCTGGTTCATGCTCAGGTCTCCCAGAGTTTGCTCAGATTGAAAAGATTGTTGCAGCTAATGCGAAGATTCTGTTTGTCTGCAATAAAATGACAGCATGGTACTGTGAACATTTGAGATCCTACAAACTTCAGTGTGATGTCACCTGTAAGTGTGTGCTGAAGATTTCAGAGTTAAATGATGTCTTCCCATTGTCAGTGTACAGGGTTCAAGGTGAAGTTATGGTGACACTAAGACATTTTATTGTTGGCTAAATACCTGTCTATTTTCCCCAGATGGCTATGCAGCAGAAGTTTACCACAAGGGTTATAGTCACTGAGGGAGATATTAGAAAGATGACCATGGCAACAAGACCGGACACACTTGAAGATTTGCTTAGCTGGCTCAAAGACTGTCTCCAAACAAATTACAGCTTCGCCCTACAATACCAAGATCCAGAGTTTAATAATGAATTCTGCAACCTCACACATGTCTCAGAGCTTCCT